TGGGGACAGGGGTGGCACAGGGACAGGGATGGGGAGGGCCTGGAGTCATGTGCCTGCACACAAGTGGAGACACCTGGGACAACTGGGACACTGCAGGGACAAGGGTGGGGGGGACAGAGACGGGGTTGGGGACACCGCGGGGACAGGGATGGGAGTGGGGATGGAGGGACAGAGGTGGGGACAGAGGGTGATGTGGGGACAAGGATGAGGACAGGGGTGGGGACAGGGATGGTGTCACAGTCAAGGGGACAGGGATGGGAACAGCCCAGATATGTGGTCAGGGATGGCACAGGGGTGGGGATGGGGCAGCAGTGAGGACAGTGTGGCATGGGATAGGGATGGGGTTGGGGATAGCGATGGCATGGCCATGGGGGTGGGGACAGGGATAGGGACAGGGATGGCAGGGGGACAAGGAAGGGGGTGGCATGGGTATGGAGACAGCGGTGACAGGGACATGGGGACAGGGGTGGCAGAGTGATGGGGACAAGGATGGGAATGGCACAGGGACAGGGATGACACAGGGTTGGGGACAATAGTGGCATAGGGATGGCACAGGAGGGGGGACAGTGATGGCATAATCATGGGTTTAGGGACAGTGTGGGAATAGCATGAACATGGGGACAGGGATGGGGACAGGGTTAGGGACACACATAGGGAGAGCATGGAGATGGGGACAGGGAGGGGGATGGCCCAGGGATGGGGACAGCGTTGGGAATGGGGACTGGGACAGGGCTGGGGCAGGGGTGTCCCCAGTGGGGACTCTTGGGACAGGTCAGTGACCCCAGTCCCCTTTGCTCCACAGCACTTGTCCCGGTTGTGCCCCCCCACGAGGGGTCCCCAGGGTCTCCTCAGGGCTCCCTGGGGTCCCCAGCAGTGGCACCGTCAGCCCGAGGGTCCCCAGGGTCACTGGGGTCCCCAGGGTCACCAGCATCGCCTGCATCACCAGATGTGTCCTTGGGGTCACATGGGTCTTTGGGGTCACCAGCATCCCCCCGGGTTCCAGCGTCCCCCGTAGGTCGAGGGTCCCTGGGATCCCCGGCGCCCCCAAGATCACCAGTGTCACCAGAATCTCCAGAGTCACCAGCATCCCCAGAATCTCCGGGGTCACTAGTGTCTCCAGAATTCCCAAGGTCTCCAGTGTCACCAGATTTCCCAGTGTGGCCAGCATCCCCAGAACCCCCGAGCTTCCCAGAGTCACCAGTGACCCCAGTATCCCCAAGGTCACCTGCAACCCCACAGTCCCTGGGGTCTCCAGTGCCCCCAAAGTCCCCATTATCTTCAGAGTTCCCAGAATCCCCGTGGTCCCAGCTGTCCCCATGGTCCCCGCTGTCCCCGGGTATCCCCTCCCTGCAGGAACTGGTGGCTCGGCTCTCCCCGTACAGTGGGTCCCTGCTCCAGCGCCTCGAGAGCCACCTTCGGGCCACCAACTTCCCACTCCGGGGCAACCAGACGGTGCCGGCAGTGGCTCGTGCCATCCTGGAATATGTCCTGCGCCGGCACGTGGCCCTGGGGAAGGGCCAGGGACCGCCCTCCAAACCCCGAGGGGATGGAACCCTCCTGGGGACCACAGGTGGGTGACACGCTGGGAACAGGACGGGGGAACATTGGGAAGGAATGTCCTGGGGAAGGGGATGGGGGGAAGGGACACCTCAGGGATAGGGGGGACAGGGAGGGGACGGGGGCAGAAGGGGGGGGATGGGGAGAAAGGGACATCCCAGTGAGCGGTCAGAGGATGGCAGGAGAGATGTCCAGGGGAGGGGAAGGGGGGAAAGAAGGGGAATGGGGAAGGGAAGTTCCAGGGAGGAGGGCGGCTGAGGGATGAAGGGGATGGGGGAAGGGGACATCACGGAGGAGTGGCACAGGGGGGATGGGGGGATCAGGGAGGAAGGGACATCTGAAAAGAGAATGGGGGGGACAGGGGAGGAACATCCTGGGGAGGGAGATGAAGGAGATGGGACAGAAGAGAAGTCGTGTAACGCCTGTTCTGGGGGCAGGGGAGGGTGGGAATCAGGAGCTGGTGCTGCAGTGGGGGGACATGGATGGGATAGAGCTGATGGAGCCATGGAGGGACGTGGAGAAAACAGGTACTGACGGAGGGTGGGAGATGGGATGGAGGGATGGGTGGATGTTGGCTGAAGGATGGATGGATAGAAGGATGGAGAGATGGATGATGGATGGAGACATGAAAGGAAGAGGGGACGGATGGAGAGAGGGAAGGATATGGGGGGAAAGGTGATGGGAGGGCTGGAGAGATGGATGATTGATGGATGACGGATGGACATGTGGATGGACACTCAGATGTCCATGCCCACACCGTCCCCACTCCATTGCAGTTGCAGCCGAGGCAAAAGAGCCGCCCCCATCCACGCCAGTCCTGGATGACCTCACTGTCACCAGTGTCACCCCCAGCTCTGTGGGGCTGCAGTGGAGCGTCCCCGAGGGCCCCTTTGACTCCTTCACACTGCAGTACCGGGATGCCCAGGGCCAGCCCCAGGCCCTGCCCATCGATGGCGGGTCCCGCTCGGTGACGGTGCCGGGGCTGTCCCCGTCCCGCCGGTACCGCTTCCACCTCTACGGGCTGCGGGGTGGGAAGAGGATGGACCACGTCTCCATTGACATCACCACAGGTGAGTGGGAAAGTGAGAGGAATGGATGGATGGATCAGGTGATGGAGGGATCACGGGATCCCATCTC